AGGATATTTGGCACATGGGTCCACAGATCGTAACCCTCCCCCAAAAATGTGGTAATACAGTTTTTAAACATCGAGGTATATTTGGCACATGGGTCACAGATCAAGTAAACCCCGCACAAAACTGGGGAATACAGTTTCAAACATCGAGGTATATTTGGCACACGGGTCACAGACAAATAACCCGCCAAACAATGTGGTAAACAGTTTTCAAAAAACGAGGTAATTTTTTTTTTTTTAAAAGTTTTTTTTTGGCCACTGGGTCACAGATCAATAACCCCGCCACATACAACTGTGGGAATACATTTCAACATCGAGGAAAAATTTTTGGACACGGGTCACAGATCAAGTAACCCGCCCATACAAATGTGGTTGTTTTCGGGGTGGGTTTTTTGCCCCCCCTTTTAATACATTTCAAACATCGGGGTATATTTTGGACACTGGGGACAGATCAAGAAAACCCCGCCACTTTTAACTGTTAATACAGTTTAAAAAAATCGAGGTATATTTGGCACACAGGGTCACAGATCAAGTAACCCTGCCACATACAACTGTGGTAATACAGTTTCAAACATCGAGGTATATTTGGCACACTGGGTCACAGATCAAGTAACCCTGCCACATACCACTGTGGAAATACAGGGTTTTTAAAAATCGAGGTAATTTGGACACTGGGGGGCCAGACAAGAACCCTGCCACATACAACTGTGGTAATACAGTTTCAAACATCGAGGTATATTTGGCACACTGGGTCACAGATCAAGTAACCCTGCCACATACAACTGTGGTAATACAGTTTCAAACATCGAGGTATATTTGGCACACTGGGTCACAGATCAAGTAACCCTGCCACATACAACTGTGGTAATACAGTTTCAAACACGAGGTTATTGGCACACTGGGTCACAGATCAAGTAACCCTGCCACATACAACTGTGGTAATACAGTTTCAAACATCGAGGTATATTTGGCACACTGGGTCACAGATCAAGTAACCCTGCCACATACAACTGTGGTAATACAGTTTCAAACATCGAGGTATATTTGGCACACTGGTTACAATCAAGAACCCCGCCAATACAAATGGGAATACAGTTTTTAAACTCGAGGTTATTTTGGGACACTGGGTAACAATCAAAGTAACCGCCACATACAACTTGGTTAAAACGTTTTTAAACACGAGGTATATTTGGCACATGGGTCACAGTCAAGTACCCGCCACATAAATGTGGGAATACAGTGTCAAACATCGAGGTATATTTGGCACACTGGGTCACAGATCAAGTAACCCTGCCACATACAACTGTGGTAATACAGTTTCAAACATCGAGGTATATTTGGCACACTGGGTCACAGATCAAGTAACCCTGCCACATACAACTGTGGTAATACAGTTTCAAACATCGAGGTATATTTGGCACACTGGGCACGATCAAAGTAAAACCCGCCACATACAAAATGTGGGAATACAGTTTCAAACATCGAGGTTTTTTTGGCACACTGGGGCAAGATCAAAATAACCCTGCCACATACAAAAATGTGGTAATAAAAAAAATTTCAAACATAGGGATATTTGGCACACTGGGTCACAGATCAAGTAACCCTGCCACATACAACTGTGGTAATACAGTTTCAAACATCGAGGTATATTTGGCACACTGGGGCACAGACAAGTAAAACCCCCCCCTACAACGGGTAATAAGTTTCAAACATCGAGGTAATTTTGGACACTGGGTCACGATCAAATAACCCGCCACATACAATGTGGGGAATACATTTCAAACATCGAGGTATATTTGGCACACTGGGTCACAGATCAAGTAACCCTGCCACATACAACTGTGGTAATACAGTTTCAAACATCGAGGGAAATTTTGGCTCACACTGGACGTTCACAGGAATCAAGTAAACCCATGCCCACTTTACAACATTTGTGGTTAATACTGTTCAAACATCGAGGTATATTTTGCACCAGACTGGGTCCACAGATAAAGTAAGCACTGCCACATACAACTGTGGTAAGTACAGTGTCATCAAAAATCGAGGTATATTGGCTCAATGGGTGTAACAGTTCAAAGTAACCCTGCCACATAGACCAAGACTGCTGGTAATAATCAAGTGTTCATACATCGTGGTCATATTTTGGCTACACTGGTACAGAATCAAGTATACCCGTGCCACATACGCAACTTGTGGTACAGGTCCTCCTTCTCTCAAATTCCGGCATCATTGGGACCTGTGTAGTGTGCCGGATATAAGGTGTTTGCAGCATTTACAAAGTGGTTTAGGGTTAGAGAATAACACTTAATTATAGAATTAACCCATCTTACTTGATCCTGACCTGACGCAACCGTGGCTGTGGACTCGCTAACGTTGGTTTGCATGCAGCCAGCAGTAACTGCCTGGTTGATCTAAGGCTCTTGATTACCACCCGGAGGCCTGGCACAGACTGGGCCGCCATGGGAGCGTTGACCCCCGGAACTCTCTCGCGGTAAACACAAAAACTTTCATTGAACCATGAGAAAATATCGAACTTTTCCGCTACTTTGAGATGCTCAATTTCAAGGTTACTTTTTCGACATGAAAAGCAATCAAAATGTCTTGTTCTAATTCTGTAACTATATCTTCCATTCTATCAACGAGTCCCTCAAAAATGAAGATTACAACCTTAAAAAAACAATACAAAATATATTACTGCTCAATAAGTGGTGGCTCATGGCAGCTGAGCAGAGAAATTACCTTATATATCAGTTCGCTTACTTTTTTATTTGTGTTGTAAGTTATGAAGCTCATCTTTCCAATCATACATTGCCCGAAGTTGTTCAATGAGATAGCCCATAGACAAATACAACCAAGAAAAAAAAATAATTACAAAAATCATATATGGCTAAGCCCAGGGCTCAGGTATGGGATACATAGTCACTTTGTCTGTTTTGGGTTATCTCAGGTTCTCGTTAGTTAGCCGCTGCTATGTGTAATGAATAATCTATGCTAACTGATGATACATCTGCATGTATGATATTCTATGTAACTGTATTTGTGTATTATGATATAAGAACACTTTATTCTTTTACTTCTTAGTCTGTCAACTGAGTACAAGAAACCGCCCATTGACTTATTTCAACTACCCAATAAAGTGGTCAGAATTGGCAATTTGGCCGATTTCACATAAATTTCAACAGATGCCAATTTCAAAATAGGATCCAGAATAAACAATGCAGACATTCCTGGCACTAAAATAACATTTTCTCTGTTCATTAGTCACGGCTACAGACCCCTCTTATATTACTCTTGCTTACCGTTTGGAATTTTTATTCACAAAAAAATTGAAGATTTACTGTTATGCAGACTACTGCATTATTGTAATAATTGTATAAATAATGTCAACCCATTCTTGACTACGTACATTGGAATTTGGACTGGCAGGCGGACAGGTATTGGACAGTGACGTCATTTGTTTACTCTTGAGCTTCGCTAAAGAATAGAACATTTTCGCTACTGTGAGCGCAATTTCAAGGAACTTTTCATCATGAAAGCAATCAAAATAATATCTATTTCTGTAACATATCTTTCATTCTATCAAATGAGACCGAAAAAATGAGAATACAGTGGACCCCCGCATACCGTTGGCGTCACATACCGATTATTCCGCATACCGCTCACTTTAATTGCAAAATTTTTTCCTCGCATACCGCTCAAAAACCCGCTCACCACTGTTCGTCCGAGACGCGTCCAATGTGCGCCCTGAGCCACCCTCACATGTGCCGCTGTACCATTGTTTACCAGCCAGCCTCCGCGGTAACATCCAAGCATAAAATCGGAACATTTAGTATTATTGCAGTGTTTTTTGTCATTTTATCGGGAAAATAAGTGACCATGGGCCGCCCCAAGAAAGCTTCTAGTGCCAACCCTACAGGAATAAGGGTGAGAATTACTATAGAGATGAAGAAAGAGATCATTGATAAGTATGAAAGTGGAGTGCGTATCGCCGAGCTGGCCAGGTTGTAGAAGAAACCCCAATCAACCATCGCTACTATTGTGGGCACCAGAAAGTTAATCAAGGAAGCTGTTCTTGCCAAAGGTTTAACTGTGTTTTCGAAACAGAGATCGCAAGTGATGGAAGATGTTGAGAGACTCTTATTGGTGTGGATAAATGAAAAACAGCTAGCAGGAGATAGCGTCTCTCAAGCGATCATAAGCGAAAAGGCTAGGAAGTTGCATGAGGATTTAATTAAAAAAATGCCTGCAACTAGTGATAATGTGAGTGAATTTAAGGCCAGCAAAAGGTTTTGGGTTTTAGAGATTTAAGAAGCGTAGTGGCATACATAGTGTGATAAGGTATGGTGAGGCTGCCAGTTCGGACCACAAAGCAGCTGAAAAATATGTGCAGGAATTCAAGGAGTACATAGACAGTGAAGGACTGAAACCTGAACAAGTGTTTAATTGTGATGAAACAGGCCTGTTTTGGAAGAAAATGCCAAGCAGGACCTACATTACTGAGGAGGAAAAGGCACTCCCAGGACATAAGCCTATGAAAGACAGGCTTACTTTGTTGATGTGTTCCAATGCTAGTGGTGATTGCAAAGTTAAGCCTTTATTAGTGTATCACTCTGAAACTCCCAGACCGTTCAGGCAAAAGAATGTCCTCTAGGAGAATTTGTGTGTGCTCTGGAGGGCAAACAGTAAGGCATGGGTCACTAGGGACTTTTTCTATGACTGGTTACACCATGCATTTGCCCCCAATGTGAAAGATTACCTAACTGAAAAGAAATTAGAACTTAAGTGCCTCCTGGTGTTAGACAATGCCCCTGGTCATCCTACAGACGTGGCAGAGCGACTTTGTGGGGACATGAAATTCATTAACATCAAGTTTTTGCCTCCTAATACCACTCCTCTCCTGCAGCCCATGGACCAGCAAGTTATTGCAAACTTCAAAAAACTGTACACAAAAGCTCTGTTTGATAGGTGCTTTGTAGTGACCTCAGAAACTCAACTGACTCTAAGAGACTTTTGGAGAGATCACTTTAATATCCTCAATTGTGTAAACCTTATAGGTAAGGCTTGGGAGGGAGTGACTAAGAAGACCTTGAACTCTGCTTGGAAGAAACTGTGGCCAGAATGTGTAGACAAAAGGGATTTTGAAGGGTTTGAGGCTAACCCTGAGAGGATTATGCCAGTTGAGGAATCCATTGTGGCATTGGGAAAGTCCTTGGGGTTGGAGGTTAGTGGGGAGGATGTGGAACAGTTGGTGGAGGAGGAAAAATAAAGAACAAACCCTTGTAAAGCTAAGAACAACTTCAACAGAAAAGGGGCCCAGACCTTAGGGGAAACTGGTTCAGAGGGGGGGGAGAGAGAAATTGAAAAAATTTGGCCAAACTAAAAAAGTTAAAAGGAAATCGGGTGAAAATTTTGGTAAAAAGCTTGAAAACCCTTTAGGGTTTAGAACCCCCTCACAACAGCAACTGCAAGCCCTTGTTGGCCCAACCTTACACTGACAATGTTTTTAAAAACCTTTGGGGGAAAGTCAAAAGGAACGAGGGGTTCAGGCCACTATGGACAAAAAGTTGTGCGAAAGAAGCCAGTGACTCTGAACCCTTGGGTCCCAGGGCATTAAAAGAAAAAAGGGAAAGGAACCCCGGGAAAAGGACTTCCCCACCTCAAGCCCTTAAAGGGAAGGGGTTTCCCCCTTTTCTAAAACCTTTAACCTTCTCCCCTCTCCCCCCTCCTCCCATCCCATCAATAATCCCCAGATCTTCAATAAAAGTAAGTGTCATGTAATTTGGGTGGCATCCCTTTTTCATTTTTGTGTGTTTTTTTAAAATTAAAAAATTTCCCCATGGGGTTTAAATTTTTTTTTTTTTTTTTCTTTGGGGGGTTTTGGGGCACGGGAAAATTAATTTAAATTTCCTTTTATTTTTATGGGGGAAAATTTCCATTCGCATCCCCGATTTTTTTTCGACTTACCAATGCCCCCCCTCTTGCACAAATTAAAATGGGGGTAGGGGCGGGGGGCCCCATTTTTAAAAACCCCATAAAAAAAACATCCCAAAAAAAAACCCGCAAAGTTTGCGTAGTGGCTAAAAAGGGAAAAATCGGGCTTTTTATTGTCGGATTTCTTTATTTTTGGTGTCCATTAAGAAGTAACTTTCCATTGTACATTCCCCAAAAGTCCAATAAGATAACCCAATAAACAATTTGAGAAAATAATAAAAATTTAATGTTTATACGTGGTCATCAATAACCCTTTCCCCCCCCTTAAAAAGCGCCACTTTGGGAAAAATAGCCCCCTTTTTCTTTAAAACATTGGCTGCAAATGGTCCCGAAATCGCTAATCGCCCTTTCCCGTCCGGGCCCCTTTACTCATCTCAAAACCCGTTGGCCCCCCCCTTTTCCGGCCGTGGGGCCCTTGTTTATCAGTGAGCCAAACCCGGCCCCCCCTCCCCGTGTTCATAGGGTAAATTTAAAAACATTCCATTCTTTTTAAGTGCTTGCAAGTGCAAAAATAAGCTCCCTGGCCCCAAAGAAAGCTTTAGTCCCAACCCCTTTGGGTAAAAAAGGTGTAAAATTTTGATTGAATTTAAAAAAAACATTTTTTGAAAAAATATAAAAAGTGGGCATACTGGGGGGCAAAACCGGGCCAGGTTTTAAAACAAATTTTTGTACAACCATACCCTTCCATCATACCCAAAGGGAAAAAAGGGAAAAAATCAAGGAAGTGTTGGGTTTGAAAAAGGGGGGAAAATATGCTGACAAAAAATTAATACCACGCTCAAAAGATGTTGGGGAAGTTTTTAAAATGGTGTGGAAAATGAGAACAGTTTCGGAGATAGTTTATGACGTCGCTTTTTTTGTAAAAAGGGTAGGCATT